CACAAGTACGGGCTACTAGCAGTAGAATGAATGCTTACATCCTCCGAGTTTCCACATATGGACATATGAAAGATTTTTTGGTGAGAAAGCGATTTCAGGAACCAGGCAAGCTAGAAGGTCGGCTTTACGAAAATGCTCCATGCCCGAGTGTAACTCAAAGAACTTAAATTCAACCTTCACGCACTTCTAGGTTTCAAGCACGCACAAGTCAAAATTCAAATTTTTTGGCACCGTGCCAACACAAGAATTAGAGTATAGAGAAAATTGGCGAAAGCTGTAATTTTACGATGCTACTTGCTGTTTACTTAAGCGCAAGTGAAAATAAACTGATCTTTCGCGTTCTCCGAGATTTGATGTACAGACACGCGAAATTTGAAGCAGAAAAATTTTGATGTAAATGCTAATTACAGGTGTCACTTACGAGATCAGATTTCCAGCAGCCAATCTGTGATTTCGCAGAAATTTGTTTCTAAGGTCAAGACACTGATCAAAACGATGCATTCAGATGACTTTTTTGTGGCCAAGGACTTTTTCCTTAAAAACTTAACCCCTCTAACTTTCGTACTTCCAAAACCGCACAAGCAATTAAGCATGGCCTCGTTTTTAGTAGGAGTTTCGGCATAATCCGAAGCAACGATGTACAGTCATTGATGATTTTTGGATCAAAATACTGAACGTGAAATGACCTCAAATGCACGATGAGCATTGTCATAAAGGAGCACAGATTGAGCATCATGCCGAAAAAGCATGATTCCGGTCGATGATCTCCAGATGATGATATGTATGGGAAAACAGGATCCACATCGCCATGCCAGACGGCGAATACATACGTTGAACCTGAAACACAATTAGGATTTTTGTCACACACATTCAACTCGGCAGTCGGAGTAGCCAGGAGGTTGAAATTTAATGATGCTTCTAACCCAAATGCGGTCCTAATAGCCAAAAATCATCATTCACCTATGCTTGGGTTTCATGTGCGGATGCCTGAAAGAAAACATGTAAATTTTTTGGCCGGAACTCAACTTCGCGATTCAAACAGAGTAGGAAGCTGAAACTTTAAGTGGATATTTTCCGCACACGTGTAGGCAAAAAATTTCAAATTCAGTGATTACACACGCTTAAATCATGCACACGGACACATTAAATTTGAAATCCAGACAGTGCTGGCAAAGCGCCAAACCGAAAACAGACTGAATAGAAAGCTTTGATTTCACGAGAATATTTGCTCTTTACACGTGAGCACGTACACGTAAAATGAACTTTGCCGTATGTCTGTATAGCGTATTCAGATAGATCAAAAGTATGTGTAACAAAATGCGATTTCGTCGACCAGACAGGCAAGGCAGTTGAAATTCTATGTTCATGTGCAACTCAAATATTTCAAATTCAGCTTTAA